CATGTCTGGCGTTTGTGGCTTGCTTTTGTACTAGTGAACTCAGAAGTTATCTGCTGCACTACAGAAACCCCAAAACCAAACTAAATGTGGCAGGGGGATGTGACATTTAGTTCCATGTTGCAACTGACCTTTTATCAGTTCTGAAGATGACTGCATGTGCCATTAGAAGCTACGGGTGTGGATTCCTAGTCATAATATTATTTTTATGAAGAAGGCTGCAGTGGCACCCCAAGAGTCACTTCCTTTTTTTGATTATGATTATGGGTTTTAATGCAGGTTTTGGGTAGAGACAGGAGAACCAAGACTGGAACTATGGAAGTTCTGAAGAGAAAGGTCTTGCAGAAAGGGCAGTCAGACGTTGTATTACCCTGGTCTCCTCAGCCCAGCTGCTCGGTTGTCAGGGTAGCTGCACTGGCAGTGAGAATCTGTGAGTGGGGGTCTCCTGAGACAGCCAAAATACCGCACGAAGGTTCAATGCAATGATGGTCTTAAACAAGGGCACTGCTTAACCCTGTGCATTTTATTTTTAAAGCAGAAAGTGATTTTTACTGCTTTGTTCTCTTGCTAGAATGGAAAAATTATAAGTCATATGTTTCCAACATTAACAGCATGGTATAATATTTCACTGTCTCTAATGGGAATGAACATAAAGAAACCAAAATATTGCTTAAAGAAACAATAAATTAAATATAATAAAAACAATAACAAGATTAGTGGGTATAAGCATTATAATCAAGGCTCTCTTTAATATTTAAACAAGAAAAAACTCCTCTGATAATTCTGTTATTCTATCCTCTCTCTCCTATTCAGAAGCAATTGTATTTGTCCATTTATTTAATTCCTTTTGTTTCTTCTGTCAACTCAACAAAACCACTTAAAGTATTTTAGTACTGAATTTTATGAGCATGTTTTCATGAATTCCGTCATAAAAAGACATACTTCTATAGAGCATATAAGCAATAGAAAGGTACAAAATGTGTTATTTTTCTCTTCAAATTAAATCTACACAGTAGACAATAAAATACACCACTAGTAAATCACAACCTACATAAGAAAGAGCAGGGACTAATGAAATACGAGCACAGTTTGTGCTGCATTTCTCTTACAATCTTCTGAGGAAAGGAAGCAAGAAATAATTGAAATCACACACAAAAAAATAAAATTTGAATCTTCTGATAATACTTCATATATGGCGATGTTAGTGGATAATAAGAATGGATTTAATTAAAATGAACAGAAGAAAAGTTGGCTTACTTCTCCAATGAACTTTTTTCTAATCTTTCTTTCTCTTTCCTCTGACGTTCTTTGCTCTTCTTAACTCGAGTTTCCCACAGTCCTCTTATGAGAGAAAAGTCAAATATTATCACCTGATGCCCCATACAGTCAACATTAAGCTTCTCCTGCAACAACAAGTCATCATGAACATTTCAGGAAAGGAATAATGACAAAAACAGAGAACTAAACAATCATGCTTCATTAAAATTATCTGGGGAAAAAAAGCAGAAGTCATGAGAAATATTAACATAGTACGCTTTCCATCTTACCTAATTTGTCTAGGGTTTTGTGCTGGCAGTAACCAGTGTAGCATAATATTGACTTCTACATAAAATCTATGGCAACAGCTAAATGTTGAATTTTTTGTATTCCTTTCATTTTTCCCTTTCCGAGATAAAGACACAGTTGCAAAGAAATATTAATTTGATTAAGTAACAGTGATGAAAATAACTACTAAATACTTTGTCATAAGCCCATAAAGAATTTACTTATTGTAAATCATGCAAAAGCACTTCATGTTGGGTTCTCATGTATTGACCTTTATGCACCCAAGCCATCCTGTTCCAGTGGAATTTGGGAATTTACAGTGTTTGCATAAGTAGGTGCTTATCTGTTAAAGGCATTAAAGGACCAGCCCTGTAACATACAGTGAAAACTTCCTAAGGCAGAGATAAGGTGAAGGATATCTGAATACATGCTTCCCGTTTAGTAATATGTGTAGAATTACCTTCCAACAGTTGAAGGCTTTGGTATCAATGTATTATGTCCTGTGCAGTTAAGAATGGAGCTGAACTGGACCCTAACTCACCAAGCTTTCCATATTCAGTGAAAACCACGGAAACCTCTTGCAGGAACCATGCCCCTACCAAAGTCCATGACAATGCTCTCATTCCCTTTAGCGGGCCTGATGCTTGACCTTGACCCAAAATGAATGCTACCTTCCTTTTTACTTAAGGAAAAAAACATACTGTAGTATCTTTAACAACCAAAACAGATAAAGACCTCGGATTTACATCTTGTGAAACACAGCGTGACTGGCAACATGGTGTAGCAATGGTTCAGTACTGAGGTGGGTTAACCCTGGCTGGATGCCAGGTACACACCAAAGCCTCTCTATCACTCCCCTCCTCAACTGGACACGGGAGCAAAAATATAACCAAAGGCTCGTGGGTCAAGATAAGGAAAGGGAGAGATCATTCACCAATTACCAATTACCAAGGGCAAAACAGACATAACTTGGGGAAATTAGTTTAATTTATTAACAATCAAATCAGAGTAGGATAATTAGAACTAAAACCAAATCTTAACACAATTTCTTCCTGGTCTTAACTTCACTACTGATTTTCTCTACCTCTTCCCCACCCAGCAGTGCAGGAGGATGGGGAATGGGGATTGTGGTCAGTTCATCACACATTGTCTCTGCTGCTCCTTCCTCCTCACGGGGAGGACTCCTCACACTCTTCCCCTGCTCCAGCGTGGGGTCCCTCCCACCATGGGAGACCATCCTCCACAGATTTCTCCAACATGAGTTCTTCCCACAGGCTGCAGTTCTTCACAAACCGTTCCAGCCTGGGTCCCTTCCACAGGGTGCAGGAACAGACTGCTCCAGCATGGGTCCCCCGTGGAGTCACAAGTCCTGCCAGAAAAGCTGCTCCCACATGGGCTCCTCTCTCCATGAGTCCACAGGCCCTGCCAGAAGCCTGCTCCAGCGTGGGCTTCCCACTGGGTCACAGCCTCCTTTGGGCATCCACCTACTTTGGCGTGGGATCCTCCATGGACTGCAGGTGGAGATCTGCTCCAGCGTGGAGCTCCATGAGCTGCAGGGTCACAGCCGGCCTCACCGTGGTCTCCCCCACGGGCTGCAGGGGAACCTCTGCTCTAGTGCCTGGACGCCTCCTGCCCCTCCTGCTGCTCTGACCTGGGGCTCTGCAGGTCTGTTTCTCTCACATATTCTCACTCCTCTCTTTGACTGCAGTTGTGCCATTTTCTTTTTCCCCTTCTTAAACATGTTATCTCAGAGGTGCTACCACCATCGCTGATGGGCTCAGCCTCAGCCGGCAGCAGGTGTGAGTCAGTTGACGTTGGCTTTCTTGGACAAAGGGGAAGCTTCTGACAGCTTCTCATGGAAGCCAACCCTGTAGCCTGCCTGCTACCCAAACCTTGCCATGCAAACCCATGCAAGTACTAACAAAGGAATCACCACAATACACTGATTTTCATTAAATGCAGCTAGATTGTCTACAGAGGACTTTTGTCATGTTTACTTCTTTATAAAATGGTTTGCTGAACCACTGCAAACAAGTCCTATAAAACAGAAGTTCGAAGCTTGTACCAAGATAAAAGCAGAGAAAAGGAAAATCAGTTATTTAAAATTTTCTTGAGGTTTAAATAGATACTACATTCATTATACCATTCATAATCTTAAATAAAAAAAAAAAAGAAAGAAAGGAAAGAAGAAACGCCCTCTGGACCATCTACTGATCATTTAAGAAGAAATCTGCCCCTTTCTTTATTGGGTGTTTTCAAGCTTATATCTATAACTTTTTACTCAGATTTTACTGTGATAATTTTTTCCAA